AGAATATAACCTGTTTGAAAACATCCTCTAAAATTTTTTTTAACTTTTTTTTTAAAAGACTTTATTTATTTGAAAGACAGTTACAGAGAGGAAGAGGCAGAGAAACAGAGGTCTTCCATCCGCCTGTTCACTCCCCAGATGCCCGCATTGGCTGGAGCTGTGCCAATCAAAAGCCAGGACCAGGAGCTTCCTCCGGATCTCCCATGTGAGTGCAGCGGCCCAAGGACTTGGGCCAGATTCTACTGCTTTCCCAGGCCATAGCAGAGAGCTGGATTGGAAGAGGAAAAGCCAGCACACAAATGTGCACCTATATGGGATACCGATGCCTAAGCCTACTAAACCACAGTGCCGGCCTCCTTTTTGCATTATTTTAATACAGGTATTGATATAGCCATCTTTTATTTCCCCTATCTCATTTTGTGCCATTTAAAATCTTTTTAAAAATTTATTTGACAGAGAGAGATAGACAGTGAGAGAGAGAGAGAGAGAGAGAGAGAGAGAGAAAGGTCTTCCTTCCCTTGGTTCACTCCCCAAATGGCCGCTACGGCTGGCGCTGCATGGATCCGAAGCCAGAAGCCATGTGCTTCTTCCTGGTCTCCCATGCGGGTGCAGGGGCCCAAGCACTTGGGCCATCCTCTACTGCCTTCCCAGGCCACAGCAGAGAGCTGGATCGGAAGTGGAGCAGCCAGAACTGGAGCCCATATGAGATGCCAGCAAGGCACGGGGCAGCTTAACCTGCTATACCACAGTGCAGGACCCCAGCTTTTACTTTAAAATGATAATGTCTTTTTTCTCTGGATGCTTTAAAGATGACTTTGTGGCTGGCGCCGCAGCTCAATAGGCTAATCCTCCACCTGCGGCGCTGGTACCCCAGGTTCTAATCCCAGTCGGGGCGCCAGATTCTGTCCCGGTTGCTCCTCTTCCAGTCCAGATCTCTGCTATGGCCCAGAAGTGCAGTGGAGGATGGCCCAAGTGCTTGGGCCCTGCACCCCATGGAAGACCAGGAGAAGCACCTGGCTCCTGGCTTCGGATCAGTGCGGTGTGCGGGTCGCAGCGTGCCGGCTGCAGCAGCCATTAGGGGGTGAACCAACGGAAAAGCAAGACCTTTCTCTGTCTCTCTCTCTCACTGTCCACTCTGCCTGTCCCCCCCCCCCAAAAAAAAGATGACTTTGTGTTCAATGCTCTTATTTTTTTTTTTATTTGACAGGTAGAGTTATAGACAGTGAGAGAGACAGAGTGAAAGGTCTTCTTTCCGTTGGTTCACTCCCCAAATGGCCGCTACAGCTGCTCTTATCGCCTTTTTTTTTTTTTTAAGATTTATTTATTTTACTTGAAAGTCAGTGTTACACACACACACACACACACACACACACATACACACGGGGTGTCTTCCAACTGCTGGTTCACTACCCAATTGGCTGCAACAGCCAGACCTGCGCCAATCTGAAGCCAGGAGCCAGGTTCCTCTGGGTCCCACACAGGTGCAGGGGCCCAAGGACTTGGGCCATCTTACAGTGCTTTCCCAGGCCACAGCAGAGAGCTGGATTGGAAGTGGAGGAGTCAGGGACTTGAACCAGTGCCCATATGGGATGCGGCACTGCAGGAGGCAGCCTTACCTGCTACGCCACAGCGCCGGCCCCTCAATGCTCTTAAGTTCTACCATGCTGTATGTGATCTGGATTTATTTTTTCCTATCTTCTTTTAGTTTTAGAATGGCTTCTTTACTCTGTAAACTAATTTTTCCTTAGTTACAAAATATTCCCAGCTCTCAATTTTTCACCTATTGCCTCTACTTGACCTCTGATCTCCTTCTGGAATGGGATTATACATTTATCAGAGAATTTTTCTATTCTTCCAGGTCTCTCATTTCTTGTTGAGCTGAATTCTACATAATATTTCAATTCTATCTTTCAATTTACTAATGCCCTTTATAGCAGTATGAAATTTGCTATAAAATATGAGTTTTTAATGCTAACTATTACAGTTCCCATTCCAGGAGATATCTATCCTTTGTTTTAAAATGTGCTTGTTCTTTATATCTATCTATAGAGATATCTATAGAAATATCTATCTCTATAGATATCTATAAGTCTATCATTTCATGATGTATATTATATATACATCTTATCTTTAGTATCTGAATAAAATCTGAAATTTTGTGGTTCTAATTGTGTTTCCTGATGTTTCTACTAGCTTTTAGCTGGAGTGTCTGAATTTGGGGTGTGTGTGTGTGTTTGTGTGGATTTGAAGCTGCTCTTTTTGTGTGTGTGTGAATTGGGAATGAAAGTAGGTTCATCCTGAAAGGTTTTGTTTGATTGTAACAGGTTTCTTAGGGTACTTAGGATGCAGGACTATTTTTGGCTAAATATTTGGCAGACAGATTTTGAGACTACCCAGACAGAGTAAATGTTAGTTCCAAACTGATAGGAAGACTGCTTTGTTGTTAGAGCTCAAAGTTGATCCCTTGCACTCAATCTTCTATGCTATGACTCAAGATAGGCAGTTTTCCTTATAGTCCTCTTATGGGGGTGAGGTGACCATATTTAATTCTAATTCTAACTCTCCCTGCCTCTAAAGATAGGGTCCTGTGGATCCCCAGTTACTTGGAATAGTCTCCTATTAGACCCTTCCTACCTTGGGAAGAACTTAGGTTGTGCATTCTCTTCCATGAACTTTGTGAAACCTCAAAAAACAAAACAAAACAAAACAAAACAAAACAAAACAAAACAAAACAATGTTTCAGTTCACTCAGTTCAACAAATATCAACAGGGTGAAAGCCAGGCCCCGTGTTCTATGTATTTGTCTTACTTCACACCTTTGCTTATTCCCTGGTTTAAGTATTACTTGCATTTTTTGTTGTCAGCCATAGGAGTATATGAGATGTTTTTATATCTTACGTTATTAGTTATTTTCAATGGGTGAGACACTTTGGACCCCTAGTCGGCCATGTTGCCAAGAACTGATGTTTTCTGTAACCTTGAAATTTTTTTGCTATTAATTGCAAAATTCCATTTTTAATCCTGGAAAAGGGCATATGTTTATGAAGATAATGTGCTCATGATAGGATTCTTACTGAGAGTGTTTTATAAATAATTATTCCAGCCTAAACCAAGGTAGATTTTTTAAAAAAGCAATTAAAACTTTATAGACGGTATCTATTCCAGTCTGCATAGAGTAGTTTTAAGAGCACTGGACTGGAAACCAGGGGTCCTGAGTTCTATTGCTTCTACTTTGCTGTATGTTATCGGATGATTCCTTTAATTGGTTGGCCCTTGTATATGATAGAAAAGTAGGGCCAGAGGCCATTTCTAAGGCCAAAACTGTGATGTCTGCACATCACTATGCAGAATAGAGCATATTCAGGAGCAGAATTTCTGATGCTTGAGACATTTCTTAAGGCTACCTTAGTTTAACATTTTAAACATACTGCAACATTATGTTTGTGAGCTCACAGGCTACTGTAGACTTTTTTTTTCTAAAAACAAAGTAAATAAATCAATATAAAATATTTTTGTTTATCAAAATAAATTCTTAATGATCTCTTATTATGTGGACATCTTGTTAGTTCTGAGTACTTAATTATTCCCTGTGTGCTTTCTAGTGTTGCAAATCCTTTAAATGTAGCTATTAATATAATTTGAGGATTACTTGATTTTTACATGAAAAAAATAGTAATATCCAAAAGCTGCAGTTATACCATCTGCCAGGAGTTTATGTGAAAAATTTTGAAACCAAGAACCTTTAAAAATTTTTAGCATACTACATTAATCATTTTAAAAAATCAACCTGATACCAGGAAGATTAAACAGTCCACAGTCAGTTTTATGCAACATATTCACAGGTTTACACTGTAAGTTGTGAAAAGAGTATCTTTTTCAAACTTGATTAAGTGCTGCAAGATGTTGAAGAAACTCAGGACTCAGATGAATTACTGTATACGTTTGATGTCATTTTTGGCAAAACCTCAGAAAATGTCACATAAAAGGAAAACATCTTACTTAAAGTAAGGTCTTGACAGCAGTCTGGAAAAGTTAACAACTCTATTTCCAACTGGGAACACTGGTTATAATCAAACTTTTAATGATGATATTAGTTCCCTTTGAGACAATCTAAATTCCAAAACAAAACAACAAAATACAACCTGCTTCTTTGTGCATGTATACGTATGTATGTGAGCACATGCATACACACAGGTATATATACCCATCACCTCTTTTACTTTCTAAAGTGGACAAAAATTTGTAATTATTTCCATTTAGGCTCCAAACATATAATCTGTCTTGGCTTTCCATGCCTAAAATACTCTCATGGGCTCTTCAGCCATATACGAATGCCTTAAGGGCTGATTCTGAGGCCAGAGTGCTATTTAGGACATCTGCCATTCTATGAGTCTGCTGAGTATCCCACTTCCCATGTTGGATCATTCTCTCCCTTTTCTATTCTATCAGTTAGTATTAGCAGACACTAGTCTTGTTTGTGTGATCCCTTTGACTCTTAGACCTATCAGTGTGATCAACTGTGAACTGAAATTGATCACTTGGACTAGTGAGATGGCATTGGTACATGCCACCTTGATGGGATTATACTGGAATCCCCTGGCACGTTTCTAACTCCACCACTTGGGGCAAGTCTGATTGAGCATGTCCCAAATTGTACATCTCCTCCCTCTCTTATTCCTACTCTTATATTTAACAGGGATCACTTTTTAGTTAAATTTAAACACTTAAGAATACTTATGTGTTAATTAGAGTTCAACCAATAGTACTAGAAGAAAAAAAATACTAAAAAGGATAAAGTATTACATTGTACATCAACAGTCAGGACAAGAGCTCATTAAGTCACTGTTTCTCATAGTGTCCATTTCACTTCACCAGGTTTCCCCTTTGGTGCTCAGTTAGTTGTCGCCAATCAGGGAGAACAAAAGAGATAAATACTGGGGTTGGCATTGTGGTGCAGTGGGTTAAACAGTCACTTGGGATGCCAGAATCCTATATAGGAGTGCCAATTTCAGTCCTGGCTTCTCTGCTTCCAGTCCAGCTTTCCGTTAATGTGTTTGGGAAGCTAGTGGAAGATGGTCCAAGTGGTTGGGTCCCTGCCACCCATGTGGGAGATCAGGTTGGAATTCCTGGCTCCTGGTTTGGCCTGGCCAAGATTTTGCTGTTGTGGCTGTTTGGGGGTGAACCAAAGAACTGACGATCTCTGTCTCTTTCTCTCCCCTTTTCTCTGTTGCTCTCCCTTTCAAACAAAGCAAACAAATTTTTAAAACAAAAGACTAATACTTATCAGTATCAATTAGCCTATTTTTAGTCAAGAATGACACAGATAATAGCAAAAGAAGGACAAAGTGCAGTTACTAAAAATATAGCTAAAGGCTCTTGTCACATTTCCTATATAGGAGTTACACCAATCACCAGGCAAGAAGAATGCTTATCAGAAAAGTCTACTAAGATAGTGAAGGGGGTGAGTATTTGGTAAAGTGGTTAGCCCTAGCCTGGGACACCTAGAGCAGCTGGGTTTGAGTCTTGGCTCCAGTCTCTATTCCAGATTCCTGCTAATGTGCGCTCTGGGAGGCAGCAGGTGATGGTTCACATCGTTGGGGTCCTGCCACCCTTGTGGAAGACTTGGACTGAGTTTCCAGATTCTGGATTTGGCCTAGCCCAGCTCTATCTTTTGCAGGCATTTAAGAATTGAACCATTGGATGCGAAATCTCTAACTCAAAAAAAAAAAAAAAAAAAGACAGTGAAAGGATGAAAAAGATATATGCTACATACATTGTTTGTTTATTTGTTTTTTACCAAAAAAAAAATTTGTACTTAGGGGCATTCAAGGGGCCAGCACAGAGGCTTAGAGAGTAAAGCCGCCACCTGCAGTGCTGGCATTCCCATACGGAGGCTGGTTCCAGTCCTGGCTGCTCCACTTCCAATCCAACTCTCTGCTATGGCCTGGGAAAGCAGTAGAAGATGGCCCAAGGGCTTGGGCCCTGCACCTGCATGGGAGACCTGGAGGAAGCTCCTGGCTCCTGGCTTTGGTTTGGCGCAGCTCTGACCATTGCGGCCAATTGGGGAGTGAACCAATGGATAGAAGACCTCTCTCTCTGCCTCTCCTTCTCTCTCTGTGTAACTGCCTTTCAGCTAAAATAAATAAATCTTTAAAAAAGAAGCCTTCAGAATATGAACAACACAAATATAACTTTTTCAGAAGGAATTACAAAATTCAGTTCACAGAGCAATAATTATTTCATATAAGCTGCATCAGAGACAACTGAAGATGAAAAAATTACTGTCCTCATATATAACTGATTTGTGTTGTGCACTTGCTTTAAATTTCATGCCAATTTATAGCCCCCATACTGTATCAGGCAAGGTTAGTGGCTATCGAAAACACCAACATGGCTATCTAAAGCCACATTCAGTATGGCACTAGTTACACAAAAAAGACATTGTACAGTATAAAAACAAATCTTTGGCTGGCGCCGCGGCTCAATAGGCTAATCCTCCACCTAGCGGCGCCGGCACACCGGGTTCTAGCCCTGGTCGGGGCGCCGGATTCTTTCCCAGTTGCCCCTCTTCCAGGCCAGCTCTCTGCTGTGGCCCAGGAGTGCAGTGGAGGATGGGCCAAGTGCTTGGGCCCTGCACCCCATGGGAGACCAGGATAAGTACCTGGCTCCTGCCATTGGATCAGTGCAGTGCGCTGGCCGTGGCGGCCATTGGAGGGTGAACCAACGGCAAAAAAAAAAAAAAAAGAAGACCTTTCTCTCTGTCTCTCTCACTATCCACTCTGCCTGTCCCAAAAAAAAAAAACTTATTAAAAAAGATTTTATTTTATTTTATGTGCAGAGTCACAGAAAGAGAGAAAAGAGAGAGGGAGATAGAGAGAGATCTTCCATTCGCTAGTTCACTCCTCAAATGGCCACAGAGGCCCAGGCTAGGTCAGGTGGAAGGCAGAAGCCAGGAGCTTCATATGGGTCTCCCACATGGGTGCAGGGGCCCAAGGCCTTGGGCCATTTTCTGCCACCTTCCCAGGCCCATCAGCAGGACGCTAGATCAGAAGTGGAGCAGCTGGGACTTGATATGAGATACTCATATGGGATGTTGGCATTGCAGGCAGTGGCTTAACCTGCTATGCCACAATGCCGACCCCTAAAAACAAGTCTTACCCAACCTTATGCTTCAACTTTTTTCTTTAATAGGAGTAAGTTGTGTACAGGGGGGTTAAATGCTTTATAGACAAGAAAAAAAATCTGTGATAGAACCAATATATTCATCATCATTATCTTCTTCATCTTCCTCTTCCACCTCTTCCTCTTCATTTTCTTGCTCTTTTCAGCCTTGACCACTCCCTCCTGCCATGTTTTCTGTAGCAAGAGATTTTCCTTTAGGTTAATATGCAGCAATATCCTTTTTTGTATGGCCACAATGGCTGGAGCTACACTGATCTGAAGCCAGGAGACAGGAGCTTCTTCTGGATCTCCCATGTGGGTGCAGAGGCCCAAGGATTTCAGCCATCTTTCAATGCTTCTCAGGGCACAGCAGGGAGCTGGATTGGAAGTGGAGCAGCCAGGAACGAACTGGCACCTAGATGGGATACCAGCATTGCAGGCTGCGGCTTTATCCACTACGCCACAGTGCCGCCCCAAGCTGCCTACTTTTCATCAGGCTGCTTGTCATCTGCAGCAGTGTTATTCCACATCACTCCCAGTTTCTTTGCAACATCTACCAATGGATATGCGAGGGTGTTTTCCTTTGATTTTGAGCAGTAACACTCAGAACAGAACAAGAAAAAGGCTGAAGGAGGCCTCTTGACTGCATTGGGATCCTTGAATTTCTTTTTTGTTTCCCTTTAAGAGGGATTTAGGTTTTCATTTCTCTTTTTATAACAAACCTTGTCTACCTTTGCTATTTCTTCAAATTCTCCCTTCGCTTTAGCAGACATGGTTTCCCCCTCTCTGAGCCCATCTTAGAGAACTGAGAAGTTGGGGCCGGTGCTCTGGTATAGTAGGTTAAGCATCTGCCTGTGGTGCTGGCATCCCATTGAAGTGCCAGTTCAACTCCTGGCTGCTCTACTTCCTACCAGCTCCCTGCTGATGGCTGCACCCACATGGGAGACCCACAGGAAGCTCCTGGCTCCTTGTTTCAGATTGGCCCTGCTCTAGCCATTGTGGCCACTTGGGGATTGAACCAGAGCATGAAAGACCTCTCTCTGTCTGTAACTCAGACTCTTAAGGAAATAAATAAATCTTTAAAAAAGAAGAACAAAAAAAGAAAACTGTGAGAAGTTAATGGAAGTATCTGGGCGCTTCTTCTTGTGCTCCCCCCAGCAAGTGTGCACAAAGAATTCACATTTAGTTATTTTTCCTCAGCGAGTCATAGAGTTGCCCAGTGTCTGTCTGGCTCTCATTTGCTTTGGCACCACTTCTACAGAGCAATGTCTATAATAGCAGGAGCCAAAGCCTCCTCTTATACATCAGTTCTTAAAAGTAGCAATAGATAGGAGGCCTGTAAGATGGTCCAGAATTTAAGTAATGTAAAATATGTAGATTGGTTAGAGTTTCATTGTATGTAATAATTAAATTCTAGGTTAATGGCTCCACATTTACAGTGCTCTCATAATTGTATATTTATTAGTTTTTCAGAAATCTCCAGTTTGCTGCCAGTTTTGATAAATATAAAGATTTTGATTATTTCTGTCATGCTTGACTCAGTATATTTAATGGTAATGCTCAGGATGGATTTTTGATCATTATTTTATTATAATACATAGAATATCAGTGGTCTAAGGCCAAAGGCTTTCAATGGATTGTTAAAAAACAAAACAAAAGAAACCCCAAGAAATTTATGGATTAAATTTAAAGATGGTCACCTCTTCAATACTTTACCAAAAAATTAAATCCTTTATGTAACTCTGACATTATGTACACGTAGCCCTTCACAATATTTAGTCTTTTAAAACTATCTTATTGAAAACACTGGCAAGAATATAGCATGCCACGGGCAGGAGTAGCTTAGTGGTTCAGATGCTTGTATCCCATATTGCAGAGCCTAGGTTCAAGTCCTTGGCTCCAGCTCCAAGTCCAGCTTCTTGCTAATAAGAGCTGGAGAGCCAAGAGGTGATGACTTAAGTGTTGGGTCCCTGCCACCTTTATAATGGAGAGGACCTGTACTGAGTTCCTGGCTCTCAGTTTTGGCCTGCCCAGCACCAGCTGTTGTAGACATTTGGGAGAATGAACCAGTAGATGGGAAGCGTCTCTCTCTCTCTCTCTCAATGTATATAACAGGCATACTTTCTAGTACATGAAGGTAATAATGTGTTCAATAATATTTCACTTGAGAGACTATCCTAGGTAGAGAGTGAAGACTTATTTCTCCAGGACTTGAAGAGAATGAAGAGTTTCATACAAATGAATGTTCCAGATAAGAGAATTTCATCTTTAATTTATTAGAATATTAACAATTTTAACACTTAGTTTAGACTCACTCCCCATTCTCTAACTTGTTAAAGACCAATAAATATCATCTGACCTTAATGAATCAGAGTTTTTCCAATGAGCACACATAAGTTTATCATTTAAAGATACTGGTACGCTGGGGCCGGCCTGCAGTGACGGCATCCCGTATGGGTGCTGGTTCAAGTCCTGGCTGCTCCACTTTTGATCCAGCTCCCTTCTAATATGCCTGGGAAAGCAGTGTAGGATGGCCCAATTCCTTGGGCCCCTGCATCCAGGAGATTTGGAGGAAGCTCCTGGCCCCTGCTTTGGATTGGCTCAGCTCCGGCTATTGTAGCCATTTGGGGAGTAGACCAGCAGATGGAAGACCCCTCTTTCCCTCCCTCTCTTTCTCTCTCTCTATAACTTTTTCAAATAAGTAAAACTCATTTCTTTTTTTTTTTATTTATTAAAGACACTGGTATGCTTTCAGAATAAATGAAGTATCTAAAGCAAATGTGTCCATAATATTTGACTGCCATGTTCTTGTGTGTCATGACCTAGAATGATGTGGTCAACTATCATCTCTTGCTACTATCAGATGGGGGTCTATAACCATGCTTTTCTCTTTCAGTTTTTGAAAAACACACACAATATACACATACACACATACACAAACAACAACAAATTTTTATTCCAACAAAATAGTACCCTACAAAGGTCCACTGATGAGCCCTTGCTCTGCCTTTTCTTTATTTATTCTTAATTTTTTTGATTATTGAGATATACTTAATGTATCAAAAAATTCATCCTTTTAGAGTACACCCTTGCTTACTTTTATTATTCTCCGATCTATCTGGAAGTTGGAAAACCAGATCATTGATATGTCAGCAGCAATGCCTTAAGTAAGAGGAAACAGGCCATGACTGATGGCCTGACAGGCTACTGTGGTAAGTCCAAATACATTATAATTAGCACATAGATTAAGCAGACTAAAAACAGGAAAAATAGGGACAAAGAGGTCTGATACTTCTAGCATCCAAAGGAAAAAAAATGATGAGTCACAGATACCTGAAGAAAGTTAACCACTGTGGAAAAAAGGACCGATTTGATCCATGAGAAGAATTAATTATATGTGGTATTAGCACAACACGGAGTTAACATTCCAAGAAGGTTTCTTTTTCTTATAAAAACCTGGAGGAAGCTTGTTTAACACTGTACATCAGATAAATGAAAAGTAGTCAAAAATTGTACATGTTCACAACCTAGCAAGCCTGAGGCACGTGGTCTGACTTAACATTGTGTGAGAAACAGAGTCGGAAGAAACCTGAAATGGCCCAGAGCAACCTGAGAGGTGTTAAGCCCCGCAGCGGTGAGTTTCATGAGAAGGCTTTACAATTCTTTCCTGATGTACAAGCTCAGGTTTTCCTTCCTCCTCTAATTTCTGGCACTAGTCACAGAGCAGGTATTGTTTGCTTAGAACCTTGAAAAGAGCATCTGACACCTTATCTCCCTACAGCTGATTACAGAATATGTTTAAACCTGTATCTCCATGTGAGCATCAGCACTTTGGTACTGGTTTGTGTAGGATGAAACTTAAAGAAACCTGGAAAGGACTTAACCATAATTTAATGAAAAGGATTATATGGTTTATTAAAGAACTTGACAGAGCCAACACAGGAAACCAACTGTATCTCCAATTAATTATCAACCTTATTCAAAATTTCTTACCCCCACAACAATCCTATGCACAGCCTTGATGATTTACAGCAGACTAGAGAGATTCCAAGGCTGTAAACAGGATTGTCCTGCAGTCCATCTCTTTTGACATCGCTGGTATCTAAAGTAAAACACCACATTCTTTATGTACCTAAATTGGGGTGTTACAACCTACTGCAGATTCTGTATTCAACTAAGAAATGTAACTTTTGAATTTTACTTTATCTGGAGGCTTTAAGAAGTAGGGTGGGAAGAAGAATCACGATGTTCCTAAAGTTGTATTTGTGAAATGCATGAAGTTTGTATATCTTTTTTTTTGATAGGCAGAGTGGACAGTGAGAGAGAGAGACAGAGAGAAAGGTCTTCCTTTGCCGTTGGTTCACCCTCCAATGGCCGTCGCAGCTGGCGCACTGCGCTGATCCAATGGCAGGAGCCAGGTGCTTCTCCTGGTCTCCCATGGGGTGCAGGGCCCAAGCACTTGGCCCATCCTCCACTGCACTCCCTGGCCACAGCAGAGAGCTGGCCTGGAAGAGGAGCGACCGGGACAGAATCCAGCGCCCCGACTGGGACTAGAACCTGGTGTGCCGGTGCCACAGGCGGAGGATTAGCCTATTGAGCTGCGGCACCAGCGAAGTTTGTATATCTTAAATAAAACGTTTCTGGGGGAAAAAAAGAAGTAAATATATGTCAACCCAATGGCAAAAATGAAGATGTCATATTAATATAAAGCATTTACCCAACAACATCCATGTGATATAAGGAATAACAAGTCCTATTTGTCTTTCAGTTTATATAGAGAGAAACATATGGGTCCAGACTTTAAAGTAACTTGCCTAATGAGACATAACAGATTTAAAAGCAGGATATGACTAAAATAAGTCTTGAATTATCTGCATAAATATGGCTAAGGATTTGGCTGAGGGACCCAGGTAAATATTATAAAGCCAATGGAATATTCATTGCTTGATTAAAAGTGATTTCCTATGATGTCAGAATTCCTGGAGAAGGTATCACATCTGATTTAGTGGGAGACTTCCATTCACAGAAGAAGGTGAAAATTATGCATTTTAATGCATAAGTATTAGAGCAAAAGGCTTGCTCTTATAGGTCACTTCACAAGTGCTTCTAATTCAAAGATAATACAATATATTCTAAAATGAATTGGCAATAGCCAGCAAGTATTAAGACTTGACAAATGATAGCTGGCTCTGCGGCGTGGTGGGTTAAAGCCCTGGCCTGTGGTGCCAGCATCCCATATGGGTGCCAGTTCTAGTCCCAGCTGCTCCTTTTCCCATCTAGTTCTCTGCTATTGCCTGAGAAAGCAGTAGAGATGGCCCAAGTCCTTGGGCCCCTGCACCCACGTGAAAGACTCGGAAGAAGCTCCTGGCTCCTGGCTTCGGATTGGTGCAGCTCCGGCTGTTGTGGCCATCTGGGGAGTGAACCAGTGGATGAAGACCTCTCTCTCTGTCTCTACCTCTCTCTGTAACTCTTTTAAATAAATAAAATAAATCTTAAAAAAAAAAAAAAACAACTTGACAGGTGGATTGACCAGGAAATAATAATACCAGAAGCTTTACTAAGAATATCTATACAGGTTCAAAATACCTTTTTAACAGAGTATCAATATAGAATTGCAACTTTGAAAAACATGAAGAGAAAGTTTATTTTGGGACTTTGTATATATTTATATATATATATATATGTATACACACATATTTGTAGATAACTGGAACAGCAACAATATTAAAATTAACACTCTCAATTTGTAGGATTGGATAGGAAAGAAAATGGAACCAGGAAGTTACAGCTTTCTTCTTACAAATTTAAAATTATTTTCTTTTTATTTTATCCAATATTGAAAATATATTAAAAATTTTCTCATTACTTAATTTATTTAAAAGAATCTTGAGGACTGTACAAAGAATTTTATCCCTGAATTTATGATTAGAAAATCAAGACACCAAGATTTAAATAACTTTAGTACTAACAACTGTAATTAAGATTCTTATTTTTTGAGAAGCTATAATATTCCAAAGCATTTTATAAACATCAATGCTTCATGTACCCACCACCCAGTATTACTATCAAAATTAGTATTAAAAATAACAAATTCAACATATTTTTAATCTCTATATCAGCAACTGTGATGCACAGCAACCATATGAAAGTTGGGACAGAATGTAGGTCTACATAACAATTTGCTACACCAACTTATCCAAAACACTGTTCTTTTAAAGATTTTTATTTATTTGTTTGAAAGTCTGAGTTACACAGAGAGAGAAGCAGAGAGAGGTCTTCCATCTGCTGATGCACTCAATGGCCGGAGCTACACCGATCTGAAGCCAGGAGCCAGGAGCTTCTTCCAGGTCTCCCACAAGGGTGCAGAGGCCCAAGGACCCAGGCTATCTATCCCCACTGCTTTCCCAGGCCACAGCAGAGAGCAGGATCAGAAAAGCAGCAGCCGGAACTTGAACTGGCGCCCATATAGGATGCCGGCACTGCAGGCGGCGGCTTTACCAGCTATGCCACAACTCTGGCCCAAAAGATTTTAAAAAAATATCACTTATCTGGTTCTAAATTTACTGGCAAGTTAAGTTGCTAGATATAACATAAAATCTTCAAAAGATCAAATCATTATGAGTTGCCAGAATTCTCAGACAACTTAAACTAAACCAAAATGCGTTGCAAAAGCATGATGTGTAGCTATATAGCCAATCAAGAAATCTTTTCTGAATAGGTTCAAGAGAATATTCAGCTCAGCTGATGCATGACGTAACAGAGCCAAGGTCAAAAAACTCTTTCCAATTTCATGTGAGAATCTTACTATGCAAATACATTTGAGAACCTCTGGAACTATTCCCAGAGTTCATGTAGTTCTAACCTTAGAATGAGTATCTGTCAGCTGAGAAGATAGGCTAGAGTTCTGATATACATTCAAGGATGTCTAAAATTCTACTTCATCTATATAATGCTTTGTAATAAGATGGCTCATGAAATTATTTGTAATTATGGTGAAAGAAGTAATACCTGAGTTAAGAACTGCATAGGAACTTCAAATATAATGCAGTGTTCACTGAAATTTATAATCTTTCATAATAAACAACTATCATATCAGCAATATTTGCCAATTTAAAAGATCTAAGCAAGTTTAGAAAATATTAATTCTTAGACAAAAGTAAACCATAATATGTATCATAGATAGGTTCTAAAAATTTAATAAGCATTCTAACAATATAGGAATAAAATATTGCTCTTAACAGAACTCTAAAAACACAAGAATAATAGCCCATTCAGTGCCTAGCTCTTGGTTTCTAGATACAATACTCCAGTAAGTGGAACCACAGTTCATTAAAGAGTAGTTGATTCCAGGTCTGGAGAAGGAAAAATATAGGATATGCATGGAGTATCTTGTGGTGCCAGAAATAAAGAAAGTGCTCAAAGGATGGGAGCAAGTTCAAAGGTGATAAGAAACACCCTGGGGCACGGCGCCATGCGCACTTGGTTAATCCTTCGCCTGCACCGGTTCTAGTCCCGGCTGCTCCTCTTCCAGTCCCGCTCTCTGCTGTGGCCTGGGAAAACAGTAGAGAATGGCCCAAGTGCTTGGGCCCCTGCACCCACATGGGGGACCAGGAGGAAGTACCTGGCTCCTGGCTTTGGATCGGCGCAGCTCTGGCAGTTGGGGCCATTTGGGGAGTGAACCAACGGAAGGAAGACCTTTCTCTCTGTCTCTCTTTCACTGTCTTTAACTCTACCTGTCAAATAAATAAATAAAACCTTTAAAAAAAAAAAGTACCACCCTAAAAGACCAAATATCCAAAGCTTGAAAAATTTGAACAGAGCAAATAACAATAATGTGGGATTATAACACATAGACTATTAGAAATAGTCACATTCCCATCTTAGAATAAAGATAGTTCTTTCTTACAGAAGAAATCCACGTAATAAAAATAATAGGCATAGGGACTGGCACTGTGGCATAGTGGGTAAAGCCACTGTCTGAAGTACCGGCATCCCACATGGGCCCTGGTTCAAGTTCTAGCCGCTCTACTTCCAATCCAGCTCTCTGCTATGACCTGGGAAAGCAGTAGAAGATGGCCCAAGACCTTGGGCCCCTGCACCCATATGGCTTTGGATCAGTATGGCTCCGGCCAATGCAGCCACTTGAGGAGTGAACCATCAGATGGAAGACTCTCTCTTTCACTCTCTCTCTCTCCCTTTCTACCTCTGTTTCTCTGTAACTCTGTCTTTCAAATAAATAAATAAATCTTAAAAAAAGATTAAAAAAATAATGGGCTTCAAGGAAACAGTCACCATTAGAAAAACACAGCAATAACCATAGCCTTTAAACAAATCAGTGAAGCTAAAGTCTGAAGAGAAAGAGATATTTGTATGACCTAAAAGTATCTTCCCCATATTGTATTACTATTCTGAATATGGATTCTTTAAGGATAGATGCTTGTTGAACATTATTCTTTCATATATCCACATAGGTGGTACAGAATCTAGCAGATAAAAATACTCCAAGCTTTCCGAAGCATGAGAATATAGAAGATATATGTGTATGTACAAGGCAAACTTATTAAATCAAATTTAGTGCATTAGTAACTGCGTAACATTTCTGATCATGTTCACTGAATCTACAATAAAATTTATTACTCTAAGAGCAAAATAGATCTGAAGGTTCCAAACTGTTATTCTGGAAACTGAACATTACACACTTTATAGCTCAAACAGTTCCAAACCAAATTAAATTGTTTAGTGAAGTAGCTTTTTAAAAAACTATACTAGCTTAACAAAAACCACAGTGAAACAAAGAACTTATTTAACCCATATAAATACCAGGCTGTGATTCTGATTGGTTTTATTAATATTTTAGATTTTCTATGACTTAACATAAGAGTCAAAACGAAAACAAACAGAAAAGAATAGTAACACAGAAATGTTTACAAAGTCTCAAACACTTTTCTAAAATATTTTAAAGAGTATGAAATATTGAAAAAAAATGAACATTTCACCCCTGTGTACTTTTAATCCAATTATGTGCTATGGCAACATTTCAGTTTTGCTTGATTTCAAATACTCTGTCAGTTCTTATTAAGCCATCTTAAGGACAATACTTATGTCATGTTTGCACTGAATTTACTTCTCAGAGAAATGTCCTGAGTGGAAATTTATTTGATTCACTAACTAAACAAAGAAAGTATTAAAGAAACAAAACTCAAGAAGGAGAGAAGGTAGGAAGGGGAGAGAAGAAGGAAGCAAGAAAGAAAAGGCAGAAAGGAGGAAAAAGAAAGGCAAGGAAAAAGAGAAGTAACAACCAAAAATGGAAGTCCTTACCTTCACTTCTCTTTTCTGCTTTTGCTGTGTTTTCTACTTTTTTTTGTTTTGCTGCCAAGAGTTCCCGCTTTAATTGTCTTGCTTCTTTCCTGAGCTCTTCACTAAAAGGCAAAAAAAAAAAAAAAAAAAAAAAAAAAAGTTATATGAGTACATAACATACTTGAGAAAATAATGTTGTTTAGCAAAAACAGAGTTGTTGGTTTTAAGTACATCAAATCTAAGAAAAACAAAGAGAATCTTATAATTCATTCATGTTGATTTTGAGTACATATAAGGATGCTTCAAAAAGTTTGTGGAAAATGGAATTAACAAAGCAAGATTTTCCATGAAAACAAATTTTTTAAAGATTTTATTTATTTATTTGAGAGGTAGAGTTACAGAGAGTGGGAGGGAGAGACAGAGAAAAAGGTCTTCCTTCCATTGGTTCACTCCCCAAATGGCAGAAATGGCCAGAGCTGCATCGATCCTAAGCCAGGAGCCAGGAGCTTTTTCTAGTCTCTCACACAGGTGCAGGGGCCAAAGACTTGAGGCATCTTCTACTGCTCTCCCAGGCCATAGCAGAGAGCTGGATTGGAAGAGGAGCAGCTGGGACTAGACCAGGCGCCTATATGGGATGTTGGCGCCACAGACGGAGAATTAACCTACTGTGCCACCGTGCTGGGCCTTCCATGAATTTTTGAAGACTCCACATATACTTGTGAAATGGGAACATACTTAAAGAATGTTTTTAAAGCTGAACTTTTTCAAAGTAACAATATGAGTTACTTTCAGGCATATCAAACATAAGGAAAAAAAAAGGATAAATGTTACCTTGACCTCCTAATTCACTAAAAATTTCAATGTTCTATTTCCAGTTTAATTATTCATAGAGATGGGGCTGGCATTGTGGTGTAGTCAGTCAAGCAGCTGCCTGCAATACTGCCATCCCACACGGGTGCTGATTTGAGTCCTGGTCGCTACACTTCTGATCCAGCTCCCTGTTAATGTGCTTGGGAAAGCAGCAGAGGACAGCCCACGTGTTTGGACCCTTGTATCCACTGTACCAACATGGGAGACCCAGAGGCTCCTGGATCCTGGCTTTGGCATTGCCCAACCCTTGACTGCTGTGGTCATCTGGCGAGCAAACCAGCAGATGGAAGACCCCTATCTTTTCCTCTCTCTCTCTATAACTCTTTCAAATAAATAAAATAAATCTTAAAAAAAAAAAACTCATGGAGATAACAAATCAAAACAAAAACTTTAATGTAGATATTATTCATCTCACACGGATATATAAAAAATAATTGGCTTCAGAAATTCTTGAATTCCTAAACTGACACCAGTAACTACCATTTGTTAAACAATTATTATATGCTAGCTATAATGGTAAAAGTTTTTAAAACTCATTTGATTTTTAAACTATTTAATCCTATAATTTGACATATAATTTGTTCTTTGGTGAAATTTACCAGACTAAATTATTCAATGATTAACATAATCAAGTGTTAAAGGCAAGCTGAAACATAAATGTTGATTTCACTACAAGTCATTAGCTAGGTGACTTATTCTAGCAAGACAGTTTTGGATTGGTTGATTCAAACTTACGCCTTGGAAAAATTATTATTTTAAAGATATATTTATTTGAAAGGCAAAATGACAAAGAAAGGGAGAGACAGAGAGAAAAGGAGATCTTCCATCTACTGGTTCACTCCTCCGTGGCCACAAAAGCCAGGGTTAGGCCAAGCCGAACTCGGGAGCCAGGAACTCTATCTGGGTCTCCAGTGTGGGTGGCAGAGATCCATGTACGTGTGCCATCTTCTGCTGCCCTCCCAGGTGTATTAGTAGGGACTTGAAACAGCAGTGGAAGAGCTAGATCTTGAACTGACACTCCAATATGGGATTCAGCAATATGGGCTACAGCTTAAATTGCTGCACTACAAGGCTGGTCTGGAAAAAAAATTATTAAGCACTTACATCGTGAACTCAAGGGCTATTATGGATAGAGAAAACTATGCATACATCTCTGAATGTCAAGTGTTCACTCTATTTTCAACAAAAGCTAGAATGGATTACAGAAAGTCAGAGAAGACTGGAAACCCACGCATGCACTGCAATCTGGAAATGGTCTCTAAAGATAACCAGGCCAATGTTTAGCAGAACCTTAAGTCTAGATGATTCCAGACAGATTCAATCTTCAATGCTTCCTCCTGATCCCAAACCACATGCCTTTTTAGCATTATCCTGCTGTCCTGTATCAGTTACCAACTTGAAGGGCTTTATCTTTATGTGCATGACTCAGCTTTCATTTTTACTTTCTTCTACATCACACACACAAAACCATGTTTTATATCTTGCCTGCAAGATTCTTAATTCTGAAACATTCCTCTCTCACCAAAATCTACTATCTTTTAACTTTTTCAGTATTTCACTGATACTAAACTTCTGCTTATTCTTATAATAATGGAAGCCAACTCCTTAAGCATAGTTCCTGGTATACTATCCCCATTCTAACTATAATTGGTTCCATTTCTACTCTGGATGCTATGGTCTGGATCAGAAGTGGAGTAGCCGGGTTTTGAACTGGCACCCATAAGGGATGCCAGCGCCTCAGGCCAGAGCGTTAACCCGCTGCGCCACAGTGCCAGCCCTGCATGTTAACTTTAGGTGTGGGATGTTACCAGGGTATTTGCCCTTGTAATAACTTTCCCAAGTGATTGTAGTTCTATTCACATTTGGGACCCAAGGCGTTAACTATAGAAATTTCATCTCCCTTTTGTAATTTCAAGTCCCTCTACTTCACTGACCCTTTCATTAAGCAAATAAACATGCTCAGATTTCCCTGGACTCTGTTCAAACCAAGTGATTAATATCTTTACAAATGGACTCCATTCCTGAAAGAATAGTTTATACAAACAGTCTACTTCATCAGCCTCTAAATTCTTAATCTCTTGCAATCTATCCCTTTTATAGTCTACTGAAACTGCTTCTATATCAGTCAAATTCAATGGGCTTTTCTCAATTCTCCTCTTCCTTTCTGGCCTCTATCATTCAATGATTCTTTCTTGAAATTCCATCTTAATCAGACTTCGGTACCTCTTTAGTGTCTTCTTTCTCTCATTCTTCTTCTCCTGGTTTACTCTTTCTCTTACAACTGCTGGCATTTTCCTCATTGCTATACTTTGTACACCAGCGTTCTTACCTACTCTCACAATATCAATTATCACTCATATATGTACCTTTAAAAACTAGATGTTTTGCTTTAATTTGGTATTGCATTTCTAACGTTCTCTGACAAATCTATATGAAGACTTGTGTTGTCTAACAGAACCCTAAGGTAAGACATACATAATTTATGGTTTCTAACCCCACATTAAAAAATAGGTTAGATTCATTTTTAACAATGTTTTATTTACTTAATATATTTAACATATTTTTCCAACATGCAATCAATATAAAGTAACAATATGATTTTTACATTCTTTCTTGTACCAAGTCTTCCAAATCTGGTGTGTATTTTGTGTCTATAATACATCTCAATTCAGACTAATCACATTTCTTTTATTTTTTTCTTTTTTCTTTCTTTCTTCTTTTTTGGAATTTAAATTCTTTTTTTTTTATTTAGTAAATATAAATTTCCAAGGTACAGTTCATGGATTACATTGGCTCCCCCCCCATAATTTCCCTCCCACTCGCACCCCTCCCATCTCCCGCTCCCTCTCCCATTCCATTCACATCAAGATTCCTTTTCAATTATCTTTACATACAGAAGATCGATTCAGTATATATTAAATAAAGATTTTATCAGTTTGCACCCACACAGAAACACAAAGTGTAAAATACTGTTTCAGTACTAGTTATAGCATTACTTCACATTGGACAACACATTAAGGACAGATCCCACATGAGAAGTAAGTACACAGTGACTCCTGTTGTTGACTTAACAATTTGACACTCTTGTTTATGATTTATTTTATTTATTTGAAAGACAGAGTCACCAAGAGGTAGAGACAGAGAGGTCTTCCATTTGCTGGTTCACTCCCCAAATGGCCATGATGGCCACAGCTGAGCAGATCCGAAGCCAGGAGCCAGGATCTTCCTCCAGGGCTCCCATGTGGGTACAGGGGCCAAAGGACTTGGGCCATCGTCTGCTGCATTTCCAGGTACATTAGCAGGAGCTGGATCAGAGTGCAGCAGCCAGGACTCGAACTAGTGTGCATATAGGATGCCGGGGCCATAGGCCAGGGCTTTAACCTGCTGTGCCACAGTGCTGGCCCCAGACTAGTCACATTTCAAGGACTCAGATTTAGCTGAACAGCAGGCCAAACATAATTACAAACTCTATGCACAAACCTGAAGTCATACCTTCCTGCCTAAATCCATTCTTTCTCTTGAAGTTTATATTTGAAGCATTTCCTTCTATTGATCAAATTTCTTCTGGACAGAAAATTTCACTGATACTTGTTGAAACATAGCATTTTCCAATCTATCTCACATACAACAAGAGTCCCCTTGACTCTTTTACCAATGCTTAATTTGGGCTCTCATATATTTCTCAGACAAATACAATTACTCTTAATTTTTTAGTTATATGAACACCGTTTTAGAAATTCCATTTATAGTCAGCATGATATAAAAATGAAATGGTATAGTCCCTGAACAAAGAACAGTAACCTCATCTTTGCTTCATCCACTAAGCATTCCTATCTTTTTACTATACTAATTTTTACATTTTTTAAATTTGGCAAGTAATTCATTTAGACTATGATTCTGAAAACTAAGGTCTTTGAGGTGGGTATTATTTTGCAAGTTGAAGAGAAAATGCTTCAATTCTGGGCTGAACAAACTAGTTACAAGAGTAAATTTGAGGTACTCAAAGGATGAGGCAAAGAAAGTATATACTGCTTAAGATACTATTGTGGAGGCAATGGAATACAGTTATTAAAAAAATCAGCTTTGGAGGCCGGCACTGTGATACAGCAGTTTAAAGCCCTGGCCTGAATTGCCGGGATCCCATATGAGTGCCAGTTCTAGTCCTGGCTGCTCCTCTTCTGATCCAGCTCTCTGCTGGAGCAGCACCTGCACCCATATGGGAGACCCAGAGGAGGCTCCTGGCTCCTGGCTA